CATCTGCTTGTCGTAATCGTCCTTGTCCATGATAACGACCGCGTTTCCCTTGTCTGCTTTCACGTAGTATACTGCTTTACTTTTCAGTTCCTTTACAATCCGATTTTCTTTTTCGTTGGCGCGACTTTGTTCCTGTCCCTCCTTGATTATGTTCGATGTGATAGTCCTAACCGTATTCTGTGATGATGTTGGAAGTGTCTTGGTAATCGCTGTTTCTAGGTCAATGATGATCTGCTCCACGTATGGCTTGGCTGTAACCGCGTATCCTAGCCCCTTGTTGAGGTGTGTCAATTGTTCTTCCGTGAATGCGGTCGTCGATCGGTTGACAACCAACCCATCAATGGAGTGAACCCTCGGCGTCGTGGTGATGGTTGATGGGATCTGCTCACCCGTTCGGTGTGTCGTCCGTCTCCGTTGAGGCTCCTGTCGTAGTCTGTTTAGCTTCCTATCCTGCAGCTTCCTATCCGTTTCTGTCTAGGGCCGTACGTACTCCTCTGCTACCTTGGCCCTAGACAGAAACTCCTGGAATTTAATTGAATACTCCTTGGCCAATTTGAGATGTAGATAATAACATTCCAAAAGCTTCATGTCCAGTTTGCTATATAGCTGTTTGATGCTATCCTTGATGAACTCTGCTTCCATCCTCTTTACTACGCTGGGTGGGGTGGGTGTCCGTACCTTAATCCTATGGCTTATAGGTATAACCTTATATTTTACCCATCAATATGGATATTACCGAAATTCGAGTGAAGTCTAGAGGCCAGAAACCAATGTCGGACGCCATTTTAAAATCCAAGATGGCGGTTTTGGTTTCAGAAAATGTGTGAAATACTGTCAAATACCCATCGATATGGATATTGTTTTAACTCAAAGAGACATCCAGAGGCCGAAAATCCTTGTCCGACTTCACCTTGAAAGCCAAGATGGCGGCTTCCGGTTTCAGAAGAAATGTCAAATACCCTATAATATGGGCATTTTCGACACGGGGACGGCGCGTAGAGGCCGAAAATCGATGTGCGGCACCGTTAATGGAATCCAATATGGTGGCCATCGGGTTCAGAAAAGTGCCAAACTGCCTACAATATGGGTATTTTCGAATATGCCATTTTGCGATTTTTAAATCCAAGATAGCGGCCATCTGGTTCAGAAAATCTGATAAATACCCTACAATATGCGTATTTTCGAACCGGGAACGACGTGTAGATGCCAAACATCGATGTCCAATGCCATTTTGAAATCCAGCAGCCTTCGGGTTCAGAAAAAGTGTCAAATTGTATAGTATTTGGACATTTTCGGAACGAGAACGACCTGTATAAATCAAAACTGGATATTCAACGCCATTTTGGAATCGAAGAAGGCGACCATATCGTATAGTATTTAAAAAAAAAATCTCAAACAGATAACCACCATCTTGGATTCCCAAATGGCGTTGGACATCGATTTTTGGCGCACATTGTAAGGTATTTCACAGGTTTTTTTAAACCAATGGCCGCCATCTTGGATTCCAAAATAGCGTCAATATGGCGGCGCTACAATATGGGTATTTTCAAAACGGGGACGCCGCGTAGAGGCTGAAAATCGATGTCAATCGCTATTTTAGAAATCAATATGGCGTCCTTTTTGTTCAGAAAAAGAGTAAAACACACTACAATACAGGTATGTTCGGAACGATGACGACTCGTATGCCGTCATGTCGTTCCCGTTCTTAAAATACCCATCTTGCATTACAAAATGGCATTGGACATCGATTTTCGACATCTAACGGTCGTCCCGGTTCCGAAAAGACCCATATTGCATGGTGTTTTACTCTTTTTCTGAACAAAATGGACGCCATCTTGGATTTCAAAATTACGTTGAAAATTGGTTTTCGGCATCTACACGTCGTCCCCGTTTCGAAAATACCCATATTATATGGTATTTTATTCTTTTTCTGAACCAGATGGCCGCCATCTTGGATTCCAAAATGGCGTCAGACATCGATTTTCGGCATCTTCGCATCGTCCTCGTTCCGAAATACTTATATTTTAGGGTGTGTGTGTGTGTGTGTGTGTGTGTGTGTGTTTGTGTGTGTGTGTGTGTGTGTGTGTGTGTGTGTGTGTGTGTGTGTGTGTGTGTGTGTGTGTGTGTGTGTGTGTGTGTGTGTGTGTGTGTGTGTATGTGTGTGTGTGTGTGTGTGTGTGTGTGTGTGTGTGTGTGTGTGTGTGTGTGTGTGTGTGTGTGTGTGTGTGTATGAGTGTGTGTGTGTGTGTGTATTTCCTCTAACCCCCACTATTATGGAAGAACTCACTCTACAATGGCGCATTTATGGTCATTGTAGACAGCTTCAGTCCGGGAGACGGTGATAGCTCTATTGTATTTAGTTTTTTTTTTATCTAGTTCGTTTTTTTGTAAGGCTCAATCGCGTTAGTTTTACGGAGTCTATAATTCATTGTTCTTTGTTTGTAACAAAATTCACTTAATTCTATGTCTAGCAGGAGTTGGGCCGAATACTCGCGGCTTACCCGAGGTGAGAGGGGTACATTGTCGAAGGATAGGAAAAGGGGAGGAGCTTGGGAGCAGGGTTTCGTTGTCTCATCAGAGCGATGTCACCGGTATGAACGGTAGTGTGGTTCTAGACTCGTCTGGAGTTCGAACGGCTATGAGACTCATCGAGACGTTGTATTTAGTTTAATTTTGATATTTAATTTGTAAACAATAATTTGGACAGATCTCACCATATTCTGCTCTTCCGCCGCCGTTAATTGCTTTCTTTGGAATCCATTGGACTTTTTCTCTAACGCCATGCGGACTCTGCGGTACCTGATGTCGACTGCGGATTTGCAGCTGGAGCTCGGTGGACCTGGCCAACTGCAAGCATACGTGGATGCTGACTGGGCCGGAGATCATCAAACTCGGGCTTTGTTTTCCATCTGGGCGGACCAATTTCCTGGGCTGCTCGGAAGCAACAGTGCGTAACCTTTTCGTCTACCGAGGTGGAATACTAATGAAGGATGTTGGTGAGAATGCTGCCGGACCGATCGTTGTCCGCGAAGATAATGAGAGCTGCATAGCAATGCTGCGAGCTGAAGGAGGCATCGACACGCGGCTCAACTTCATCTGAGACATGGTAAGCAACAACGTAATCCAGGTTGTATGCTGCCCTACCGAGTTCATGATCCCCGACGTTTTGACCAAGCCGCTGGCGAGAGTGAAGCTAGAGACCTGCTGGAAGGATATGGGACTTCAATCGATACAGCTTGAGGAGGAGTGAAGGAGTACAAGCAACCCATGATTGAAGCTACACTTATCATTCGATCACAGTAGGCTGTATGTAGATAGATAAGAAATATATGTCATTAGTGTTCGCACTCTTGAACAGATCGGTTCGTTTTACTGCCCGCTAATAGTTGCCTGCTAATAATGCCACGCCAGCAGGCAATCAAATCGATCATTCAAGATCAGAATACCGTAGGTAGAACTCGTGCTCGAAAACTGTATGACAACCTGCTGACCAAGTCCGGTGGGTGCATACTTATGGATGATGAAACCTATGTAAAGGCCGAATTCGGATAACTTCCAGGACCAACATTTTACAAGGCGAAGGCTCGGGAAGGTCTGACAAATTAAAATTTATTTTTGCGGATAAATTCGCACACAAATATATGATCTGGCAGGGAATTTGTAGCTGCGGCCAGAATACAAAGGTTTTCGTCACTGAGAAAATGATGAACTTGAGGGTTAACAAAACCGAATGTCTCCAGAAGCGAATTCTGCCCTTCATCCAGCCACATGATGGTCCGGTGATATTTTGGCCGGATCTTGCGAGTTATCAGTGCAACAATGGTCCAATGACAACGGAGTTCAGTTTGTTCCGAAAACCCTCAATCCGCCCAATTGTCCCCAGTTTAGGCCCATTGAAAACTACTGGGCAATTATGAAGAGGAAACTGAAGGTAAAAGGTACAGGCCATGCTTTAAACGCTGTCCAGACTGTTATAACGGTTGTCAAATAATTGCAACACAGAAACCACCTTCAAGAAAGCGCTATAACATGTTATAACTCTGTAGTCTGAACGTACTATTATGCTTATAAGAAAATTTAATGTTCTATTGTTGGCTACAAACACACAATATCCTGGTATTGCCAATACATTCCATATTGACATCAATCCATCGGTATCGACAATATTTCTGTATTCGCATCATGAAGATTATTGTCAATAATTCCCCTTCACCCTAATAAATAAAAAACCTCACTTTGAACAACTCCCGGACCTTAGGAAAGTGCTCGAATGCAGCAGTCCGACTCACGCGACTCACTTATCATGTGGTGGATTTGTAAAACAAAAAAGTCACGAGTACAGAGGCCAACAATTTCGACGAATACCGTCTCTCCCATTCGCACTCTCTCGCTCTCTTGTGGCCCATTCTTCTCTAGCAATAAGCCAATAATTGCTCACTCTTGCTTGCTCCCATATTTCCATTCATATTTCAGTCCGTTGCGTTGAAAAGTCACCTGGCTGGATGGCTGTGAAAAGAGAGGCTCAAAAAATGAGCACTGCTACTCTCAAAGCAAGGGAAAAATGTAAACAAGAGTAGGTTTAGCAAAGTGGATTGCGCAAAAACGTAAAACCGGGCAAGAGAGCGAGGCAGGCAGGCAAAACATATGTTTTCCACGGTGGTGTGAGTGGAAGTGCTTTCGGTGACCCACGTCGTCGTGGTGCTGAAGAATGCAGGGGTGTGTGGCTGTGTGTGTGCGTGATGTGACTCTTCTGTCGACTGTCGCACGCGGTTTGTTTTCATTTTCTGCATCATCCTTTCTCTTCTCCGTCTACCATCGGTCTCGATTTTTTTTTGCTGAGCTGAAGTGAACCAGTAACGTGGAATTCTCTGAGCGGTGAAGTGCGTGTTCGTTCGTGGTGTAGTTCATAGCTTCGAGTTCGAGACGATACTGTTGGCCGTGCTGCGCGAAATCTTCGGTCGAAGCCTGCTTGGTGAGTCCTTATTCTGTTTTTTGGGGAGTTGCATCGTCGCGCACTCACTCTCACACACACACACAGGCACAGTAAGCAGCGGTGTCGATCGATCCCTGTTCGCGCATCAAGGGTCTTCAAGGGGGGTCCCCGCCGTAGAACTTGAACTTGTGCGAAACCGGCTCAAGTGAGGTTAGTTAGGACTCCTCTCTTTTGCTCGCTCGTTTGGGGTTGGGATTCTCTTTTTTTCTGCAATTTCTCAGCAGTGTTGTGTTCTTGTTGTTCCTTTATACCGACTGGGACTGGGACTCGGAGGTTTTGACGAGCAGGAGCGAGTGAAGCAGATCTTATGCTCGATTTTGGGCACCACCGCAGCACAGTACAACAGCTCGAGAAACACGAAAACCCTTGCCTTGCGCGTATGCCGGTCGGTCGGATCTTGCGCATTTTCGCTACAGACTTCTCACGCTGCGGACGTGTGTGGTGGAACCGGTGTCTAGCAGTGTAGGACCAACAACAATCTGAAGTTGCTGTTCGACTGACTGCCGTATCCCCGTGCCTGTGTGCTACGCTGCAACAACATTCCCTTGATCCGGGGTGTGTAGTGCGACAAGCGATTAGAGCAAACAATAGAATTCGAAGGGACTCTTCGTGGGTTCGCCGTGAGTGGTTTTTTTGCAAGGTCTCTACTAGATACTAGATCAGCTGGGCGCGTTTGGGCTTTGGGGGATAAAGTGACACTAGCCTACTGTGGTGAACAGTTATACACAACGGGTTTTTGTGAGCACTATTGTGATCATTTTGTTGTGTTTTTTTTTTATTGGTGGGGTATTGTGATAGGAAGAACCGTTAGGTGATCTTTGAACTGTGGTGAAAGGACTGTTTGAAACAGCCTCCAGAAGACAGTGTTAAGCGAACATTCCTAAATTGATTTCTGCTGATGAGAAGATTATTTTCAAGGACTGGTGAAGAGCATTTTGCACAAGTGGAAGTGATTCTTTTTTTTTTTGGCGTGAAGAGTTCAAAGATTTTCCTGAAGATCTGAGCAGTGATTGTGAGTTTTGAGCGATTGGTAGTTCGGAAGATCCACGGCACTGAGTTCGCGATTTGTTCCGGATCCGGTTTGCACGTCGTGGTCGTGCGGTGTAGAAGTCGTGTGTGCGAGAAACAATGGACCTGCTGTGCACGGAAAATATCAACGAGGTAGGCGGCGATCAGCTCAACAACGGCACAGGCAACAGCAATACGGCGGCGCAGCAGGCTCAGATGGAAGTTCGCCTTAACACGGCGGTTAAGGATCCCACATTTCTCGACGATCGTTGCCTGGAGAATCTACTGAAGAGCGAAGAACGCTATGAACAGGGCTGCAACTACTTCACCACCGTACAGAAGGACATCAGTCCCCGCATGCGCAAGGTGGTCGCAGAATGGATAATCGATGTAAGTACCCGTAGTCGCTAAGTCGCTAGGTTGGCCTTTTAAATCGTTACGTCACAGATAGTGACCGAAATATACTTTTTTTTTTTTTGGGTGAGAGCGATATTAAAGACGTGTCTGTTTGGTGTCGCAGCGCTGCGAGAAACAGACGTGCGCGGTGGCCGAGGCGACCGTCATCTTCGTAGTTGTATTCCATTTACACATATGTGCCGAATATATAACGTATGTAGCTCCTCTGGTCTGGTTTCGAGCTTGGTGCGATTAGAAACTTTTTAGCACTTTTTTTTTGGAGAATTCCTTGCCGTGCAGCTATCTTGTACCGTCGTATTGGTCTTATCAAACTGTGTGTTTGACGAGAGGCAGTTCAGAAACGGCGAAAGGGTTATTTCAACCCTTGTTCAACTGTAATTCAGCAGCAACCGTAGTCTCCATTTTGTAAGCCGACGATTCAAGGATTCCGCGCTGCGAATGGCGAGGCAGAAGGAACAGGAGAATCGATCGAGATCGGGCAAACGGCAAAGAAGTAGTTTGAGTTGGCTCAGTCCACAAGACTCTCAATGGGATGGATGGGAGGGATGAAAGCCGAAAAAAACAGAATAGTCTTCGTCGGTTGTTGCTCTTCGGTGCCCCGTCGGTCTTCATGGTGGGAAGAGTGAGTTTTTTTTTGAGGGGAGGTTTTTTGCTTCGTCGAGTGAAACAAAATGGCGGATCGGGTTTGGAGAAGATTGGATTTTAATTGGGATCTTGGGTGGAGTGATTCTCTACTAGAATCGCTCGGGAATTACGTTGTTAGGACTTTTGTGGATGGACCTGTAGATTAGGTCTTAAATTTCGACCATCAGATCTTGCGTGAAAGAGCAATTTTTTCTATTATTCTTCATTCTTTTCCTTTTGATTTCAAATCGTACACGGCGATTGAGAATGACACCAATTTGAGTTCAGTTTACTCATAATCGTCAAAAGTGCAGGAACTTAGCGATAAGTAAATTAACGCATGTTTTTTTCTGAGGAATATCTCAAAAATCTGCCGGAAAATGAGGAAATTTGACGAAAATTTTACTCAGTCTAGGAGTAGTAAAAATAGACTGAGTGAATCCAATCTTTACTTTTCTCATATTCGGGAATTTGTTCCTGGACAAACGTGGAAAAACATGAGGCAAATTTACTCAAAGCTGAGTTTATGCAGAGAGACCCATCGAAGTATCGGGACCGGTACGCAGAGTACAATAAGATCTATCCTATTTCCATTGCAAAATAGACGTGACGTAAAAATCCAGATGCACCGCCAGTTCTATTGTTTGAAAACCGCCAGTGATATTTTATGAAACTGGCAACACTGCACTATTGCTGCGCAAGTGTCAAATCATTGTTTACATTCAGATCATTTGAAGTGTGCGTCCAGCCAACTAAAATTGACTCTATAGGCTTTTTCAATGCACCACCAATGTAGTGGGTGCCAGGCGAGTTTGAGACGAAACGCCAATCGAACCGTTTGTTTACACCAGAAAAAGGATTTTTCATAACGCAAATTACAGCATTTTTCATTGAAAATCTTGCCTTCCATCGGTAATTGTACGATCTGAACTGATTTGTACCTTAACTATTGGCACACAAGAAATCCGGAAGATCATAACCACTAAGGAACTTTTCTATTCTCCATTTTTCTTGGCAAAAATATTCCTGAAAATCAGCAAAAACGATACAGAATTAAATTTGTCAACTATGGTTCAAGGTTTGGAGCATCTCTGATGAATCAATTTATCAGAAAAAGTGAAAAAGTGTTCTGCTTCCTATGTCTCACGGTAAAAATGTCTGCTCACAACACTCTTTTTGACGTTCTCCTATTCACCACCAGAGGTTGACTCGATCACTTAGTTTCTACTAAAAAGACGTATTGACCAATGCACGGGAAGATCTCACAAACAAATGACGTTATTTTCAGAATTTTCGATCAATTCACTTCAGATTTCCCTTAGAATTTCTTCGAAGAATTCACTTGCAGTTCTTCTTCTTCACCTTTCAAAGCTTATTGTTTATCGCATATTAGCTTATTGCCTGCTCTCAACTTAGTGTTCTAGTTGCGATTCCACAGTTATTAATTGAGAGCTTTCGATGCCTGTACCATTTTTGCATTAGTAGCATTGTGTGCCAAATAAAATCATACTTTACAACCCGAAAAATTCCTTGAACGGACCAGGAATCGGAATCGAACCCAGCCACCTTCAGCATTGGTCTAGCTTTGTAGCTGCGCCTTTACCGACTGAGAGGCCCTGCAGTTCTCCTTGCATTTCTATTTAATTTCTACTCAAACTTTGTTTGGCTTTCAGGTCAGAACACTGTTGAAATCAAGGGGTAAGTCAGTCAGCGCATTGTGCCGAAATAAGATTCGGCACAGATTGGGCACATCCATCGGCACAATCTCGTAGGTATTGGATTGTTGTAAATAAGATGGGAGCACTGCTGGACAACTTTGACTGACTGAGGAACTCAGACCAGCAGCTCACTAATAGATCTAAATATGAAATGTAGGTTCTGGAGTGGGTTCAACAGAAAGAGGCAGTTAATTAGACGCCATTAATACCCTACATTCAAATAATGCTGCAACTCACACAAAACACACTACAGAAGTCTATTCATCATCCTCTATAGTCGGTCTCCAACAATGTTCCCCATCACGGTTCCAACTCTTTCCGGCCGCTGATAGACCGTTGCTTTTCACAGCACGACAGTCTCGATTTCTGGTCTGCCTTTGAGGGCAGTATAAAACCCTAAAACACAGGAATTTTATTATCCTATGAACACAAAATTTCGCACACCCGCGTAATCCTCAATCCGATTTATCCTTGCGACTTCAAACCAAAACATTCAAGGGTGGCCGGGATGGATATTTTACAAACAATCGCAGCTTGCTCTATGACCGGCACGATCGGCACACTGACAAAAAATATGACCCAAGACTGATGAGCGGAGTGACCGACTCCTTGGTTGAAATACCTTTGATTTTCTCCTGGAATTATTCTCAGATTCAATTGTAATCCTTCTTTTGACATACCCTCTAAGTATTCTCCGAAAATTCCCTTGGAATTATGCTCTGGATTATTTTTCTCCGAGGCACTTCTTGAAACTATCCTCAGAATTCCCATGGATGTCTCCTTTGAATCACCTTAAAAATTTCTCTAAATTTTCTAAATATTCGTTAGGAATTAGCCTCGGTAATGCCAATGTTTTTTTTTTTCGTTGAAATGTTTCCTTTGAATTCTGCTCATAATTTCCATGGAATTCAACTCAGAACTACCTTGGTATTATCCTTAAGTTTCCATAGGAATCTGCAGTTCCTCAGAACTACCTTGAAAGCTGGTTCCACTTTTTCACTTTTTCATGTCTCACCTTCCTCCCTAGTTTGCCTAGTTCATTTATTTGGAAGGCTCAATCGCGTTAACTTTACGGAGCCGTTAGTTCATTGTTCATTGATTGTAACAAAATTCACTTATTGCTATGTCTAGTAGGAGTTGGGCCGAATACTCGCTGCTTACCCGAGGGTTACATTGTCGAAGGATAGGATCAAGGGAGGAGCTTCGGAGTGAGGTTTCGTTGTCTCATCAGAGCGTTGTATCCCAGAACTCCCTTGGAATGAGTTCCTTAGAAATACGAATCAAATTCCATGAGCCAAAAAAAAAGATCTTACACGGCTTTTTAAATCGGTAGGCCGACAATATAGTAGAAGCGATTCGATGCGTTGGCAATAAGCGAAGCGCTTGCGTGAAAGCTCCCTCTATGAGCGTTCTATGGGAATCGCCCAAACCTATCATAGTGAAAGCGATGCGAAGAGGTGTGCAGCTGTGTTTTGACGCCTGCGAACGCAAGTGGACTGATAATCTTGTTTGTCACTAGATTCAAAATCAGCCGGCGCCGGTGGTGTAGTGGTAAGCGTGACTGCTTTCTAACACCCCGATGGGTCTGGGTTCAATCCCAGCCGAGGTCAGTGGGATTTTTCTGAGGCATAAAAATCTCTGGTCACGTCTTCCTTCGGGAAGTAAAGCCGTTGGTCCCGGCCCATGTGTGTTGAATGGGTGCGATATCCTACGCAGGTGTGGAAGCTGCCTTCCTGCACATTCGATTGCCGTCAATGGATGGCAATCGATGTCCGTTGGTGATTGACACTAGATTACGGAACAGAGACCGACGTTAAATAAAGGAAAGATGATTCAAAATCAGATCGAATGTGTCCATATCCATTCTTGTGTAAGACCGAAACTTCTCTGGATATTTACGAAGATTTTTGTACAATCTGAAGAACTCCTCATCTCGCCTTCTATTTCGATTGATCGGGTGAACTACAACCTCTCTTTTACAAAATTATTCGTACTTTAGGAAGCGAAATATTCCTCGGATGAATCCATGCTGAATTGAAACACATTTGAACAAATATTTTGCACTGCGTGCGCGATTGTAATGTTTTCAAAAACGCTTTCACTATGTCATAGGTTGCTTTGCTTGCCGCTTCATTTCGCTTTGCCAATTGCTATCGCTTCGAATCGCTTCTACTATGTTGTCGGCCTTAGCGTTCGGGTTTCAATCGGGTTCTCCCTCGGTAGAGAAAATTGTTCGGCTGCCTTTCAGTTTATCGTTCGTTCCTTCTACTGTTGTCAGTTACAAGTCTGTCTGCAGCGTTGCTTGGTTGGATGAATTAACACTCGTTCAGCAATCTGTTTGTTTCAGCGCGTGAGTGATTGAATTTTCCCATCGTACACGATTTATTATCATTTATTGAAAACAAAACTAACCCGAATTAACCATGGGAAGGGAAGTTGTATATTACTCCATTCGAAGGGCGAAAAAGAAACCCATCCCAAAGTCGGGTTTACACGGTTGAAGTTGGAAAAACCTTGACACCAACCAGCCTCAAGGCCCAAACGCAATATGGACGGAAACGGAACGGAAACGGAAAGTTTGACGGTTGTCACAAATGACATCAAGATGCCTAACCGAAGTCAATTTGGTTC